GTATACAATATATGCCAGGCAATTTGTTGTTCCAATATAAAATCATGTATTATAGAGATAGTTTCATATCTAAGTGAAAAACTAAATACAGTATTTTGTACTGTAATTATTTTAATACAGTTTCCCAAAAAGGTAGGGGTGACTCAAAGAAGGGAACACATTAACCATCACTCTGACTTCCATAAGTTCATCAACATCACAATTTAAATTATCCACTGAATCTTAACATTCCCACCTACCTTTCAGAATGTAAGCGCTATGCTTCCTACTTCCAGCTAACCATTTTCCCTGAATCAATTTATAGATATTATCTTTGTTTTTCGGGACCTGACGAGCTGTTGGTGTGAGAGCAGGGTAATAGTATTTTGTGAAGGGATTCAGGGAAACCGGTTAGCCGGACTTAAGTCCTGGAAATGGGAAGTACAATGCCTGCACTTTAAAGGCAGGGTTTGGGATATTGGCAATTTGGAGGGACTTTTAAACTGTCATATCTGAGCGCCTCTGCAAAGACAGTAATTATGAGTGATGGTGAAAGTGTTGAATGATGATGAAAGTATTTCTCTTTCTTTTTGGGTTTTTTCTTCCTTTTTGGGTCACCCTGCCTCTTTAGGAAACAGCCGGTGTGTTAAAAAAAAAAAAAACATTCACACTGTAACAGTAAATCAAATCTCAAAAATAACCTGTCTTTGCTCACTCTGATTTAGCTGCAACATCATAAAAAATATATTTATAACCTATTACCCAACTGCAGGTATTTCTTGAATATCTTTAAAAGCTGAAACTAGAGGATTCATTATGTAGTTTCATTTGTCAAACTTCATAAAAAATCTGATGGCATGAGATATCTTGAAAATCTTCAGTATGTTGACAAAAATATACATTATTGGATCTTGGTAAAAAAAATCCTGAAAAGCAATAATTTGTCAGAAGTGCTGATAAAAATAAGGTACTGAAAGAATAGAACAGTCTTCTTACACTTGATGAACAAAATTTAGTTTAAGATTTTTAAGTGAATGATGTAAATTTCTTTAAATAAAGATTCACTGTATGTTTTATTGAAAGGATTGTTATGAGAGGCTATTGCTGAAATCTAAGTACAGTGGACCCCTGGTTTTCAGCCAGTGCAGAAATCGTACAATTCGGATTTCGAGCACTTTTTTCGGCAAAATTTCCCCCCGGGTTTCGTACATCCACTCGAATGTGAGTGTGGGGAGGAGCATGAGGCATTATGTAGAATGAAAGGGGGTAAAGCAACTTGAATTGACAGGATCATGACAGAAATGTTAAAAGCAGGGGGAGGGAGGGATATAGTGTTGGAGTGGCTGGTATTTTTGTTTAATAAATGTATGAAAGAGGGGAAGGTACCTAGGGACTGGCAGAAAGCATGTATAATTCCTTTACATATATAAAGGGAAGGAGGACAAAGGAGACTGTAAAAATTATAGGAGAATAAGTTCACTGGCTATACCAGGTAAAGTGCATGGTAGGGTTATTATTGAAAGAATTAGAGGTAAGACAGAGAGCAGGATTGTAGACAAGCAAGGAGACCTTAGAGTGGACAGGGGATGTGTAGATCAAGTGTTTACATTGAAGCATATATGTGAACAGTATTTAGATAAAGATAGGGATGCTATCATTGCATTTATGGATTTAGAAAAGACATATGATAGAGTGGATAGGGGAGCAATGTGGCAGATGTTGCAAGTGTATGGAATAGGTAGTAAGTTATTAATGATGTAAAGAGTTTTTATGAGGATAGTGAGGCTCAAGTTAGGGTGTGTAGGAGGGAGATTACTGCCCAGTAAAAGTAGGCCTTAGATAAGGATGTGTAATGTCACTATAGTTATTTAATATATTTACAGATGGGGTTGTAAAAGAAGTAAATACTAGGGTGTTGGGGAAAGGGGGAGGAAATTAAATTAAAGGGAATCAAATACAAAATGGTAGTTGACAAGTTACTTTTTGTGCTGATGATACTGTGCTTTTGGGAGATTCTAAAGAAAAGTTGCATAGTGGACGAGTTTGGGAGGATGTGTAAAGGTAGGAAGTTGAAAGTGAACATAGATAAGAGTAAGGTGATGAGGGTATCAAAAGATTTAGATAATGAAAAATTGGATATCACACTGGAGGGAAGGAGTATGGAAGAAGTGAATGTTTTCAGATACGGTATTTGGGAGTTGACTTGTCAGTGGATAGGTTTATGAACAATGAGGTTAACCATAGAATTGATGAAGGAAAAAAGGTAAGTGGTGCGCTGAGGTATCTGTGGAGACAAAAAGCATTATCCATGGAGGCAAAGAAGGGAACATATGAAAGTATAGCAGTACCAACACTCTTATATGGGTGTGAAGCTTGGGTTGTAAATGCTGCAGCGAGGAGGCGGCTGGAGGCAGTGGAGATGTCATATCTAAGGGCAATTTGTGGTGTAAATATTATGCAGAGAATTCGTAGTGTGGAAATTAGGTGTGGAGTTACTAAAAGTACTAGTCAGAGGGCTGAAGAGGGGTTGACATGGTTTGGTCATTTAGAGAGAATGGAACAAAGTAGAATGACTTGGAGTGTGTATAACTCTGTAGAGGTAAGAAGACGGGGTAGGGGTCGTCCTCGAAAAGGATGGAGGGAGGGGGTAAAAGAGATCTTGTGGGCAAGGGGCGTGGACTTCCAGCAAGCGTGCGTGAGCATGTTAGATAGGAGTGAATGGAGACGAATGTTTTTTGGAACCTAACGAGCTGTTGGAGTATGAGCAGGGTAATATTTTGTTAAGGGATTAAGGAAAACCGGTTAGCCAGAATTGAGTCCTGAAAACGGGAAGTACAATGCTTGCACTTTAACCCGTAAATGGTCCAAACGTATATGTACGTTTTTACCGCTAGTGCCCCAAATGTATATATACGTTTTATTTGTCATACATTCAACATTGCCACAATAAGCCTGAGTCGCCTAGACATGAGAGAATGGGTGTGCGCACTCACTGTGCGCCATATTAAAATAATTGGGGACGCCTGGGTACCATATGCTTTTTTTTTCTTATTAAAAAAAATGATTTTTTTTTTCTCAAAAAATTTGGGGCACTACGCGAGAACACATATATACGTTTGGACCGTTTACGGGTTAAAGGATGGGTTTGGGATATTGGCAGTTTAGAGGGGCATCTAAACTGTCGTATCTGAGCACCTATGCAAAGACAGTGATTATGTATGAGTGATGGTAAAAGTGTTGAATGATGAAAGTTTTCTCTTTCTTTCTTTTTGGGTGTTTATTTTTTGGTCACCCTGCCTCGGTGGGAAACAGCCAATGTGTTAAAAAAAAAAAATTACAGTGAGGTAATGTACTGTCATATTTAATTCATAAAAAAAATAAAATTCAGAGACAAACTTGATTGGACTTTCAACATATTATTGTTAATAACTTATTTTTTTCACCTTCATCTTAATTATGACTTAAAAAAAGCCCAAAACATTTAGTACATATACTTTGTACAGTTACAGTATACTGCATACATAAATTGGACTGGATCCAAGTCTTGGTGGATTTACATTCATAATGCCACATCAAAAAAAACAATTTAATTTTATTTGGATTAATAATATGAGATTCTTTAACACAAAACTATCAGAGAGATTATTAATGCACTTCAATAATTTCAGAGCAAGAATTGAAAATCATAATGCCAACAGATTAAGAAAAAAAAAAAACAGGTATAAAACCACCTGTTATTCTGACAATGTATTGCTCTATGAAGACTTTTATTATGTTCTGCACAGTAATACATTTTCACGAAAAATCTCTTATGCACCTTAGTCTTTCCTTTAATTTCATAGGAATGCATGAAAATATACAAACACAGTAATTAGTGCAGTAGTTAATTAAATTTCAGAAACTAAGTAGAAGGTTAAATTTAAAAACATAAACATACCAGTACACATTACACACCATGCTTACATTACCAAACACTATTGTTCATGCATTCAAAAACAAGAGTGCTAAACAAAAATTACTTTAGAAAATAATACTGACTTTGACAAATTTAAAATACAATACTCTGTACAGTACCCTATTCTAACATTTCCAACATAACCATAAGATCAACAGTACTACAAACTAAAAAAAATTATATATCTTGACTGATAGGTAAATAGAATTTGTTGGAAAAGTTCCTTTCCTTACTCCTGTGCCAAAAAGTTGAAAATTTTATTTTAAATGGGTTTAATGCTACAGCACTACCCATAGCTCAAGCATACAGCATATGAGGAGATTAGTGCTGCTTATCAGAATAAAGTATAGGTGATGTGGTCAGGCTCTCCTAGGACAGTTATATCCACATAATCCTGGCAGAAATATGACTGGACCATGTCAATTAAATAATATCAGCTTCATGTAACAGCTGAATACCAAATCACATGTGAGTGTTGCCACTAATTGTAATTAAATATATTATCAGTAACAGATTGTCCAGCAAATATTTACTTGGGAAAAATAAAATTTTGATATTTGTTGTTGATACCCACAAGACAGTACATAAAACTTGCATGAGCTTGCATGAGAGCTCAACACAACTATGACACTTTTCAAGCAAAGTAACATATTCTATATTCCATAAATCTATATATTACTTATATACATTTTTTTTATTGCTTATCTGGTGACCACTTGATCAGTCATGATATTGCTTCTTGGTGTTCATAAAGCAACACAGTCATTATAATCTGACTAGATCACAACCTGCAGAAATGTCACAAAAATTGCTTTCAGAGTTCTTCACAACAAATATATATATATAGAGCCTTGTTTTCATTCTGGTTGATTTAGTGATGCTTCTTTTATTTGTTGGTAATAAGATGAAGATCTACTTTAGTAAGGATATCATTGATCAACAGAGCATGGATTTTTGTTTCAAAATATATATTCTAAGAAATATATTTAGTGTCAATGCAACACGGTTATCCGTGCATTGTGCAGTATGGCAGTTCATATGTTTGGTAGAGTCTATTTAATTAGCCTTTGATAACAAATTTTTATTGTCTTTGAAAGATGTGAGTACGGAATTATTTTCAGTGAAAACTATTGTCTGCTTGAAATATAATTTAAAATAAAAATTCATACATGTGCAATTACAAGCAAGCAATCAATCTGTGCTGAAAAAATTAAACATGCTTACTAAAATTATAGAGGACAACACACAAAACCAATGCCCATCACCATCTAACCTCGTAACTGCTGAGGCATCTTAAATGCTACAACACTCCATAAGCTTAACTAAAAATAAACCTGGTCAATATTACATGATGATTCACTGTTTGTGTGCCAATTGCTTACCATACTCTACTAGGAAACCTACTCTATGATACAGAGTAAGACTTGCCCATAAGTTCATTTTATTTTTAATTTTTAAGAATTCCTTAATGAATTTCACCCTTATTTCAACTGAGATCAAAGTTATAAATATGATGCAGTAAGAACTGCTTCAATAAACTGGGACTCTAACTCCTGTGCCATTGGGATATTCATCTTACAATTGTCCTTTAATTCTTCTCAAGAACATTCACGATTGGTTGTAGTAAGAAAATCAACACAAAAGTCACTCTGGCTGACACTTAACAAAATTTTCACGAATAAAATCACCAGATTTATATTACAATGGATGTTGCAATTAGCATGTGGCAGTGGCTTCCATTTCATCTCTTCAGCCATACAAGCCAGAATCAGAATAAAGTGTATATCATGCAGTATAATATGCTGCAGATTTTCTCTTAGACATTTTGTAAGAATAGAGTATAATCACAAAAATTACTGCTATAAAAATAGAATAAGGAAAAATTGTATACAAATGAGATGAATATGGCATGATGAAATTTTTTAGTTTTATGAATAGATCTTCTTTCAGTACACACACAATGATATTTGTCATATGTTACATCATTTTTATTCAAAGATTTTTAATATTGTACAAACTGAGAAAACTAGCCTAACAGTTTAATTAATAACTCATATTTATTTTTAGGAGGCTATACGGGAAAAGGGGTTACTAGCCCACTGTTCCCGGCATTTTAGTTAACTTTTACAACATGCATGGCTTACAGAGGAAAGATTCTTATTCCACTTCCCCATGGATATGAAAGGAAAAATAATAAGAACAAGAACTATTAACAAGAACTATCTGGGATATTGGCAGTTTGGAGAGGCATCTAAACTGTCATTTCTGGGTGCCTCTGCAAAGAGTCATTATGTATGAGTGATGGTGAAAGTGTTGAATGATGATGGAAGTTTTTTTTCCTTTCTTTTTGGGTCACCCTGCCTTGATGGGAAACAGCTGATGTGTTAAAAAAAAAATTATACAAGTTGCCAGGAGCAAGGGGCTGGTAACCTCTTCTCCTGTACACATTGCTAAATTTAAGAAGAGAAACTTTCATTTTTCTTTCTGCCTTAGTGGGGTAAGGCCAGTTTGTTGAAAAAAAAATTATAAAGGTAAGAGAAGGAAATATTAAAATTATAGTTTGCATGACTTGGGATTATAGCATAACGAAGTATTAAACACAGTGGACCCCCGATTTACGATGTCCTCAACCTACGTTAAAACCGACTTACGATGCTTGTCAGCATAAAAATTTGACCCCGACATATGTTGAAAAGCTCGACTTACATCATTCGTCCCGGTTGCACACATACACTCGATAAATTTTGTATTATTCCAGTGTTTTTAGTGCATGTAACTGCTAAATAAGCCACCTTGGGCCCAAAGAAAGCTTCTAGTGCCCACCGTGGTAAAAAAGGTGAGAAATATTATCAAAATACTATCATACCACAGCCAGCTGCTGCTGCACCATGGTCAGCTGCTGCTGCACCATGGTCAGCTGCTGCTGCACCACAGTCAGCTGCTGCTGCACCACAGTCAGCTGCTGCTGCACCACGGTCAGCTGTACCACTCGAAGATGTGAAGAGACTGTTATTGGTGTGGCTTACTGAGAATACCGAGAAACAATTAACCCCAGAGTGTTAGCCACCCAGGATAACCCAAGAAAGTCAGTGTGTCATTGAGGACTCTCTAACTTATTTCCATTCGGGTCCTTAATCTTGTCCCCCAGGATACGACCCACACCAGTCTACTAACACCCAGGTGAACAGGAAAAAATGCCTGGAACTAATGCTCATATTGGTGATAAGGCCTGTTCTGGAAGAAAATGCCAAACAGGACCTACATTAATCAGGAGGAAAAGGCACTCCCAGGACACAGTGTCTCATCACTCATCACCACATCTTCAATAAAGGTAAGTGTCATTTATTCTTCATTTAGTACACTAGTACATGCACAATATATATTGTGCATGTATCCTTTTTGTGTGTAGGAAAATGTATATTTCATGTGGTAAAAATTTTTTTTTTCATACTTTTGGGTGTCTTGATGGATTAATTTGATTTCTATTATTTCTTATGAGGAAAATTAATTTGACTTATGATAATTTCATTGTACGATGTGCTCTCAGGAATGGATTAATATTGTAAGTCGGGGGTCCACTATATTTGAATATATTACTGTGCATTATATGATGCTTTACTTCCAATTTATTATTATTTTTGTGGAAAATAAAAATTTTGTTTAAATCTTCATATAATGATATACTGTACAGTACAGCATATACTTTCCTAAAGTCTACCATGTTAAATTGTTTTTATACACATATCTGAAGAATTTTTGATGAAGTGGGACTATAGTATGTAGTTAAAATTTCAGGGGCCTGACATTCAGTAATTTAAAAAAATATTTTGAAACTTATATGGTAATAAAAAATGTTATAAACAGATTCATTTTCTTTGTCAAATCATCGGCACTAGAACTGAAGCATAATACATTACAGGTTAATACTTTAGAATAATCCCCTGCCTAGTGGTCATTCATTCAAGGTAAATTAGCTAACCACTAAGACATAAATGATAATGAAGGCCTTTTATTGCATTGTGCTTAGAAATGGGTTTTGCAATAAGAATTACACATTTCAAAAGACAAAGTATGATAAGCATAGCCTGCTAGATTGTTAGTGGGCAGGTTATGAAGTAGACTCTTGAATTAACATTGTTCTAAAGGAGTGACTGGTTTGTCTGATCATTATTCCATGGTAGTTAGTATAAGAAGGTAAAAGTACAAAGAGGATGGGATCAGTGGGTAAAAAAAAAAAAAAGTGGAAATGAGAGAAAATGATGCCTACTGAGAGGTACAAGTAACTGCTGAAAGAAAGATTGGCCAAACTGAAAGTAATGAGTGCTGAATAATCATACTGCCGGTAATTACAGGCAGGTGTCCGGGTTATTAACTGTTTAATATTGCACATTAGTAGGTATAAGAGCAGAGCTCAGCTCATGGTGTCCCATCTTTAGCATTTAATTCATCAAATATTTTTTTTAGTATTACTTCTTTTACAACTCCATCTAGGGTGTTGGGGAGAGGGTGGAATTAAATTATGGGGAATCAAATACAAAATGGGAGTTGACACAGTTACTTTTTGCTGATGATACTGTGCTTTTGGGGGAGTCTAAAGAAAAGTTGTGAAGGTTAGTGGACAAGTTTGGGAGGATGTGTAAAGGTAGAAAGTTGAAAGTGAACATAGATAAGAGTAGGGTGATGAGGGTATCAAACGAATAAGATAAAGACAAATTGGATATCACATTGAAGGAAGTATGGAAGAAGTGAATGTTTTCAGATATTTGGGAGTTGATTTGTCAGCGGATGGGTTTATGAAGGATGAAGTAAACCATAGAATTGATGGAGGAAAAAAGGTGAGTGGTACATTGAGGTATCTGTGGAGACAAAGAACGTTATCCATAGAGGCAAAGAAGGGAATGTATGAGAGTATAGTGGCAAACACTCTTATATGGGTGTGAAGCATGGATTGTAAATGCTGCAGTGAGGAGATAGCTGGAGGCAGTGGAGATATTGTGTCTAAGGGCAATGTGTGGTGTAAATATTATGCAGAGAATTCGTAGTGTGGAAATTAGGAGGTGTGGAGTTACTGAAAGTATTAGGCAGAGGGCTGAAGAGGGGTTGTTGAGGTGGTTTGATCATTTAGAGAGAATGGAACAAAGCAGAATGACTTGGAGAGCATATAAGTCCATTGGGGAAGGAAGGTGGGGTAGGGGTCATTCCCGAAAAGGTTGGAGGGAGGGGGTAAAGGTGGTTTTGTGGGTGAGGGTAATATTTTGTAAAGGGATTCAGGGATACTAGTCAACCGGATTTGAGTCCTGGAAATGGGAAATACAATGCCTGCACTTTAAGGAGGGGTTTAGGATATTGGCAGTTTGGAGGGACGTCTAACCTGTCGTATCTGAGCACCTCTGCAAAGACAGTGGTTATGTATGAGTGATGGTGATAGTGTTGAATGATGATGAAAGTTTTCTTTTTTTTTTGGGTCACCCTGCATCAGTGGGAAGCAGCTGACATGTTAAAAAAAAATTTTTTTTAGAGCTTTTTAACCCTTTGACTGTCGCAGGCCCCTTTCTGAAATGTCATTCTATGTCGATAAATTTAAAAAAAAAAAAAAAAAAAAAAATTCTTATGAAATGATAGAGAATCTTTTCCCGATGGTAATGACACCAAAAGTATGAAATTTGGTCGAAAACTCACGGAATTACTCTCCCGTGAAATTAGCGGTCTCGGCGACATATACGTATCGGTGATTTTGCTGACTTTGAGCCCTGTTTACAGCCAATTCTGTTGTTCCAGTCAACCAAACTCATAGCTATTTCTTTAGAACTCCATTTTATCTATCAGTTGAGTACAAGAAACCGCCCATTTACCGATTTGAGCTACCCAATAAAGTGGTCAGAAATTGGCAATTTGGCCAATTTCACACAAATTAAAAAAGATGCCAATTTCAAAATAGGGTCCCGAATAAACAATGTAGACATTCTTGGCACTAAAATAACATTTCTTCTGTTCATTAGCCACATCTCTAGGCCCTTCTTATATTACTATTGCTTTCTATTTTGATTTTTTATTCATACAAAAAAATACAAAATTTACTGGTATGCAGACTACTGCATTATTGTAAAAATGGTATAAATAATATAAGTGCACTAGTGAAAGAATATTAGACTCCCCAGTTGACGTGTATTGGACTTGTGGTGTGATCTGCTTACTCCTGAACATTGGTAAAAATCGAACATTTCCGCTACTTTGAGCTCAATTTCAAGGTCGTTTTCATCGTGAAAGTAATCAAAATCATCTCTATTTCTGTAATATGTTTTCCATTTTATCACTTGAGACCATGAAAATGAGAATACAACGATAAGTATAGTAATACAAAAATACACCTCAAAGTCGGCGTTTTAATCCAAAAAAACGGTCAGTTTTTTTTCTCATTACGCACTGCGTACTGCAGGATTTTTTTTATGTGGTGCACACTGACCACACAGACCCATTCTCTCACATGTGGGCCTACCAGCTTTCTCCTGCTTGATTTGAAGCCGCTAGAATTTGCGCGTATTAATATGTCAGAAACAGTGGCGCGTAAGACGTATATATACAGCGTAAACAGTCAAAGGGTTAACTCATTCCATTGTTTTACAGCTGTGAAGAACAATTTTTATGTACAGTTGGGCCCCACTTATACAGTAGGTTAAGTTCCAGGCTACTGCTGGTAAGTAGAACACCATTTTTTCTACTTATAAATGATATAAATGCCAGATAACAAGTTTACACTAACATATATTAAGTTAGCAATAGAACTAGGCATTAAAAAACAATTAAAAGTAAAATACACAAACAGCGTAATCATTACTTACCTTAAAATATTTGTAGTCTTAATGTATGGTGAGAGGTAAGTAGTTTGTAAGACATCAGGTGTGGTAGGTATGTCCACCCCACCCACATGTAATAAACATTTAAAGCATCCTAGAGCAATAAAATGCATATACAGTACACTCATCTGTAGTCCTAATATAGGGTGAGAAGTGAGTAAACAAATAAATGAGAATGAGAGAACTAGTAAATGAGAGAGGACAGAGATGCAGAGTATGTAAACAAACAGATGAACGCATCTGGTTATGGTTCATACACGTTCATTTCTACGTTTGTGAGTCAGTTTTTATTCAGGTACAGGTATACATAAATACAGTTAAATAGATTATCATACATAGCAGCATATGTGTAGATTACCTAGGATAACCCAAAAAAGTCAGACAGAGTTACTCATTTCCATATTTGTGAAGCTTATACCATAATACAAACAACTTAAACTGTGTACGAGTTGTCTCCACTTTGGTACAGTAGAATAAATGAAGAGCAACACTCCCATTCTCGTGTAACTCAACATTTTTAGAAAGAATGACACTATGAATGAAGGCATACAAAAGGAATAATTTTCTAAAGTTGAACTAGAGAAAATGTTATTCTTTCTGACACTCTGACAAGATGACTAGAAAAACATCTCATATTTATGTTAATTTACTGTAGTGTAGGCATGCCTCTGGCAAAATGGTGATGGAGTGAATGATGAAAGTTTTTCTCTTTCGGGCCACCCTTCTTTGGTGGGAAACGGCTGTGTTAATAATAATCATAATAATAATATATAAATTGGTAGGTAGTAGGTTGGTAGACAGCAACCTCCCAGGGAGGTACTACAGTCCTGCCAAGTGAGTGTAAAATGGAAACCTGTAATTGTTTTACATGATGGTAGGATTGCTGGTGTTCTTTTCTGTCTCATAAACATGCAAGATTTCAGGTATGTCTTGTTACTTCTCCTTACATTTAGGTCACACTATAAATGCATGTACAAGTATATATATACACACCCCTCTGGGTTTTCTTCTATTTTCTTACTAGTTCTTGTTTATTTCCTCTCATCTCCATGGGGAAGTGGAACAGAATTCTTCCTCCATAAGCCATGCATGTCATAAGAGGCAACTAAAGTGCTGGGAGTAAGGGGCTAGTAACCCCTTCTCCTGTATACATTACTAAAGTTAAAAAGCAAAACCTTTTGTTTTTCTTTTTGGGCCACTCTGCTTCAGTGGAATATGGCCGGTTTGTTGAAAAAAAAGATATAAAATATGAAATAACTTCAAAACGCTTGAAATTTTGGAAAGTTTCCATAAGGGAGAGACACGGAGCTCATGGATAATGTAAACCAACCAGGTGGTGCACAGTCACTGTATTAGAAAGTCAGGTGGGGGGGAGCTGTATAGCAAATTATGGTCATAATCTGAAATGTCTGTATTAGCGGAACGCCGTAAAGCGGGGCCCTACCGTATTGTTCTTGGCACCTGTTCTCTAAATTTATAACAATATTCTCTTGTTCTCCTTGATGACTGTGCAAGAAAATCTTAAATTTTTTTTTGTTAAATCATTTTAAAAAAATGTTACCAGTTACACAAATAACCCGCACATAACCATTGACAAAGTCACTTTGTCAATGGTCCAAGTCGGACCAAAACGTCGTCGTAAGCTTCTCTCTTTTATGTGCGGGTTATTTGTGTATTGTTCCAGTCACGGTATTGTGCCTTTTTTTGTTATTAATGTTATCAGTTCTCCTCTGTTCCTCCTCAGCCAAAGAAGGCATTTCTAATGCCTTTAGCCTTTCTTCATAATGTTCAGTTTTGGTAGCCATATTGCAGCTTCTCTTTGAACATTTTCTTCATCTTGTCCGGGTGTTTAAATCGAGTACACCATACCATTGCTACATATTCCAACTTTGTTCTAACATACAATGTGAACAATGTTTTTAGCATTTTCCCATCCATGTAACTAGTGTATTCCATTTGCTCAATATCCTCAAATAAAAAAATTTCCTGCATGTACAGTATTTCTGTTGCTCAGTTTCCCTTTTAGTTTCCTTCTTTATTCTCACAGCTTCATTGTACATGGTTCAGTCTATCTGTATTTCCCTTGTCAAGATATGAGTACTATTATTATACAGTATTCACAAAGAAGTACTATGACATACTCCCTGAGTATCTATAATATTATGACCACATGCCCTCTGTTCCCTCATACCTCAAGTGTTGTGAGGCTTGTTACTGTAGTTTGTCCTTGTAACTTAGATCCTAGATCTAAATTATCTTGGTAGCTAATCTCTCAACCTCCTTGAGCTTTGTATTAGTATCTCTGTGGAGGTATGGTATCCATGCCAGTGTTACATACATTAATACTGACTTAACATATTGTATGCTCTTTATCTTGTAATTATCTACTTAAGCTTGTGGGGGTAGGGAGAGTGAGCTCCAGTTCTTGGTACCACCACTTAATTTTTGACCTACTGATGTGATCAGCCAGCCTTGATAACTATATGGACCAACAGGCTGCTATCAGCAATAGCCTGATTGAACAGGCAATCAGCAGGGAAGCCTGATCTCAAGTTAGGCTGCAAGGGTTGAAAAAATGCAGAAACTGGTCATAAATATTTCACATGTTTGTTTGCATGCATACTTACGAATTTGCTTCTAATGTTTCATGGACCAACTTCCAAATCAAAGAAAAGCTTATATATGTCTAACAAATATGTCACTTATACACCCAAGCCTGATCTCACTGCTTGTACACTTGACAGGTCAGCAATATTAAATAGCTTCAGTAACTGTTACAAGCCCTATTAAGAGTTTGTTTTCATTGTTTTTAGCAAGGGCTTTATGTAATTTGTGCTGATATTAAATTCTATCAATATACAAGAATACTTATAAATTATAGTTTATCGTATGTGTTTCTGGATGTCCTTGCATTTTCAAAAACTCTTCAAAAATTCAGCATTAAGGAATAAAGTATGGCATGTTTGATATCACTAAAGTTTTAGGAAATCTAAAAGTATATACCAAATACATAGAAAATTACCACAAAATTAAATATTAAAAAGATAAACTCTGAGTAAATTAACAGGTTCTAACATATGTTGTGAACATCTTTTCTAACATTTCCCTATCTGTATAATGCATCAAGCACATTCCATTTGCTAAATGAAAACTTTTTCATATACTACAGCATTTCTTTTGCACTTTACTTTCAATCTTCATACTCTCATCATATCACATAACATTCAGTCTATAGATTCCTTTGTAAATATCTCTGAAATATCTCACTAAAAAAGCACCAAGCCATTTTCTCTGAGTATCTTTAACACTGTGATCACATTCCCTGCCCCCTCATATCTCCATTGTTATGAGACTCTGTTCTTGAAGTCTGTTCTTATTATTTAAATCCTTATTATCATGACTTAGTGTGGTAGCAAATCTCTCAAACTCCTTGAGCTTTCTTATACAGCATGTCTGAGGAGGTAGAAATTCCATGCCAGTGTTACATATATTAACACATGTTTATTATATTGCAATTAACTATTGAACTTTGAGGGAAGTGGGGTGTAAGAGGGCTCCCATTCTTGGTCCCGCCACTAACTTTTGACTTACTTGTGTGGTCAACAAAGTTATGATGGCTATGTGAGCCAGTAGGTTGCAAAAAGCAATAGCCTGGTTTAACAGGCAATCAGCAGGAAAGCCTGATCTCAGGTCAGATTGCCAGAGTGAAAAAAAAAAAATGAAATTGGTCATCAGTATGTCACAGCTGTGTATATGTCCTTGTATGTTCGAAATTGGTCATTGGTACGTCACAGCTGCGTATATGTCCCTGTATGTTTCTTGTGCATGCATGCTTGTGTTTGCTTTAAGGGGCACGTAAGTACCCCTGTCTTCTAATAACATGCTCATTTTTCCATTATAATCTACCTTGTCCATAATTACTATTGTATTTGTTTTGTCTGTTTCTTAAGGTGAAGTCCAGGATCTTTCCTTAATTCATGGTATAACTTAACAAATCTTTAAGGACAATTGTGTTGCAGAGGTCTGAGCTTTTCTCTAATATTTGTTAAGTTATACCATGAATTAAAGAAAGATCCTAAACTTCACCTTAAAAAAAAAAAGCAAATGCGATAGTAATTACTGACAAGGAAGATTATAGTGGAAAAAAGAGCATGTTATTAGAAGACGGGAGAAGTTACATGCCTCTTAAAGTTCTTCTGGACCAACTTATTAATCAAAGAAAAGCTTACACACTTTTAACAAAAAAGTCACTTGTACACCTGAGCCTGATTTCACTGCTTTCATGTCTCAAAGGCAAATCCCTACTACTAAATACCTTCAGCATTTGAAACAAACTCAACAATTTATTTTCACTGATTTTTAGCAAGGGCTTTATATAATTCATATTCATTCTTAAATTCTATCAATAAAAGAATCCTTATAAATTATAATTCATCATATTAATTTCTGGATCTCCTTGCATTTTAAAAAACTTTATGGTGGGTAAAACATGTTTAATGTCCCTCAGTCTTAAAAATCTAAGAGTATATAATAAATATATAAAAAATTATTGTATAATATTAAATATTTAAAAGATAAACTCTGCATAAACCACCAAGTTTCAGCAGTGGATCAACAACTACTCAGGCACATAACTTGGGAAGCTTCAAGCCATCAACACACAAGACAGCAATAGGCCCTAGACCTTGGATGCATCTCCCCCTGCTCTCCTCTGTTGGATCTGCTTGAGTCGGTGACTGCAGTAAACACGTAAAAAGACGGCTGTGAAGACTATGATGATCCCCAAAATGCCCATCACAGACACAGGGTGGGCATAAATGATGCATGACAAAAGTATAGCCAAGCCCTGTGGGAGAAGTAAAGAAATGTATTAGAGTAAAAAAGTGTATTACTTTGGGTTAATTTCTTTTACATGACACATGGATATTTTTAAGATTATATAAACTGTACCACCAGCTGCTGGAAGTGCTTGATGAGCCAGGTTGTGATGCCTATGCTCTGCATATAAAGGGGCTTTTGGCATGTTCACCAAACTGTTACACTCCTTTGTACAAACTTGTATCCTGCTAAAATAAACTTGTCATTGTCATAGTCATTTGCAGTAACAGCTTCGTTGGCTGGTCAGTCAATAAAAAAGTCTGGTCTCAGGCTATGTGGCAGTGGTAGTGTGGTAGCAGCACAGGTGTTTTGCTCCACATTTCATAATCTCTTCAAGTTTAGCAGGTTGTCTAACAACAAGACATCCAACAACAAAGTACATGGAAACCTAAGATGACAGAAAAACTGAAAAACAAAACTAAATTTTATTCAACACAAAAAATACCATAAGAACAAGTACTCAATTTGATTCCAGACAACACCTCCTCCATTCAAAGATCTGAACCTACTTATACATACATAAACTTACCCATTTCAGTTTACAGAAAATTCAATACAAATATTATCTGTGAGCTAAACCAATTCCCCAAAAAACTGCAACAGATCACAATATGCATAGGCACTATTTCATGTATGACACCCTGAGCAAACACTCCATGCAAATCAAAGGACCTAAAATTTTTAACACCCTACCTGAAGAATCAACAGTATTTTATTTCCCAATATCTTCAAAAATATTGCCGAAAAAATATAAGAACTTGATGTAATATTAACCCTTTCAGGGTTTCCGACGTACTAGTACGGCTTATGCACCAGGGTTATTGACGTACTAGTACGTCAATAAAGGTAAAGGAGGTTTTGTGGGCAAGGGACTTGGACTTCCAGCAAGCGTGCGTGAGCGTGTTAGATAGGAGTGAATGGAGACGAATGGTATTTGGGACCTGACGATCTGTTGGAGTGTGAGCAGGGTAATATTTAGTGGAGGGATTCAGGGAAACCGGTTATTTTCATATAGTCGGACTTGAGTCCTGGAAATGGGAAGTACAATGACTGCACTTTAAAGGAGGGGTTTTGGGATATTGGCAGTTTGGAGGGATATGTTGTGTATCTTTATACGTATATGCTTCTAAACTGTTGTATTCTGAGTACCTCTGCAAAAACAGTGATAATGTGTGAGTGTGGTGAAGGTGTTGAATGATGATGAAAGTATTTTCTTTTTGGGGATTTTCTTTCTTTTTTTGGGTCACCCTGCCTCGGTGGGAGACGGCCGACTTGTTGAAAAAAAAAAAAAAAAAAAAAAAATTCAGGGAAACCGGTTATTTTCATATAGTCGGACTTGAGTCCTGGAAATGGGAAGTACAATGCCTGCACTTTAAAGGAGGGGTTTGGGATATTGGCAGTTTGGAGGGATATGTTGTGTATCTTTATATGTGTATGCTTCTAAACTGTTGTATTCTGAGCACCTCTGCAAAAACAGTGATAATGTGTGAGTGTGGTGAAAGTGTTGAATGATGATGAAAGTATTTTCTTTTTGGGGATTTTCTTTCTTTTTTGGGTCACCCTGCCTCGGTGGGAGATGGCCGACTTGTTGAAAAAAAAATAGTACGCCTAAATTCTAGCACCCTCAAATCTACTGAGAGAAAGCTGGTAGGCCTATATATGAAAGAATTGGTCTATGTGGTCAGTGTGCACAGTATAAAAGAAATCCTGCAGCACACAGTGCACAATGAGAAAAAAAACTTTGTGTTTTTGGTTTAAAACAGCAACTTTGCACTGTATTTTCATATGGTATTTATGGATGTATTCTAGTTTTCCTGGTCTCATTTCATAGAATTGAAGACATATTACAGAAATTGAGATGATTTTGATTGGTTTCACAATCAAAAGTACCTTGAAATTGAGCTCAAAGTAGCAGAAATGTTTGATTTTTGCTGAAGTTCAAAAGTAAACAAATCATGCCATGCGTCCAATACACATCAACTGGTGAGTCTGATATTCTTTCACAAATGCACTGATATTATTTACACCATTTCTACACTAATGCAGTAGTCTGCATAACAGTAAATCTTCTATTTTTTGTGAGAATAAAAATTCAAAGTGGAAAGCAAAAGAAATGTAAGAGGAGCCTTGAGACGTGACTAATGAACAGAGGAAATTTTATTTTAGTGCCAGGAATGTCTGTCTTGTTTATTCTGGGCCCTATTTGGAAATTGGCATCTTTTGAAATTTGTGTGAAATTGGGAAAATTGCTAATTTCTGACCACTTTATTGGATAGTTGAAATTGGTAAATGGGTGGTTTCTTGTACTCATGCAATAGAAAAAATGGAGTTTTAGCGAAATAGTTATGATTTTTGTCGACTAGTACACTGGAATTGGCCGAAAATAGGGCTCAAAGTGGGCAAAATCGCTGATGCATAAACATAGTTGAGACCGCTAACTTCGCGAGAGCATAAATCCGTAAGTTTTCAATCAAAATTCATACTTTTGTGTCATTATGATCGGGAAAAGATTCTCTATCATTTCATAAGAAAAATAATTTTTTTTTTCCGAAAATTTTTCGAACCTGAGAACAAGTTTAGGAGAGGGCCTCTTGACCCTGAAAGGGTTAAATATATAATAATTATAAATATTTACTGTACAATGTTTATTGTATTTGTTACTCCTAATTTATTCAACTGCTACCTCCCCATTGTAATCTAAACCACTTTGTTAGCTACAGAAATTATTCATGCTGAATTGTCACAAAAAATTAAAACCATATGTTATATTCCTTATCATCAAGGTGGAGTAACCACAAAAGAAAACACATGTAAATACAGAAATGTGAACAATATATTAATACGTTATAATTATCATTTCAAGGTAGCAAGGGGCTAGTAACCCCTTCTCCTGTATACATCACTAAAGTTAAAAAGAGAAACTCATTTTTCTTTTTGGGCCACCCTGCTTTGGTGAGATACGGCCAGCTTGTTGAAAGAAAGAAGAATTCTCATTTCAAATCTCTTGAACAATGTAACATAACCAGAGGCTCAAGGCAGAAGCCGAAAATAATGAAAAACTCACTACTCTGTAGAATAATACATTCAAAACCCTTAATATAACAAACTTTCTAATTTCAAAACTAGATATGCCAATCCAAAAATTATGAAAACTGAAAATGAACATTTTTTACATTTATTGGCTAGACATAGCTTTTTTGAAAAACAAAGAATATAGGCACCAAGTCACCTCTGGAAACAGTTACCTGCACCTTGGTTAATCAGAATTTGATTATGCTTATGCATATGCTGCACTGTTGCAGAATCTGATATTTTCAGATTCTGCAACAGTGACACACTCACCTGCAAACAGTGTGACTCACCTGACGTATAGTCATGATAATGATGAAGACTACAGGGCCAAAGACAGAGATAGTGTGGTAGATGAACATTTGGCCGGTAGCAGAACAGATCTGGTGAACAACATTTCATATTCAATAAGATGCAAGTGTCAAATTTTATATTCTACAGAATTCCCTCAAAATATCACTTAGTAATATGTATATTTACAGCCACTAATTATAGGAAATATTTTTAAACTTACTCCATGGGAAATGGAGAAGAATCCTTCCTCCGTAAGCCATATGTTTTCTAAGAGGCGGCTAAAATGCCAGTAGCAAGTAACCCCTTTCCTGTATAAATTACTAAATGTGAAAAGAAGAAAAAATTCTGTTTCTTCTTTTTCAGTCATCCTGTTTTGGTGAGAGACAGCTGGTGTGCTAAAAAAACTTTCTTCACAGCTTAACATGTAATAACATATTCACAAAAAATTAAATTAATCCTGATTAAATTTTATAACCTGTAACTAAGGCTAACAGTCTAGCTATGTCAATATCAAAAGCCTACTTATACTAAAAAACAATCTCCCCCCTCTCCTGTTAACTCGAACCTGAGCCTTACTATCCACATAAAAACTCTTTATTGTTTTATAAGAACCTTCTCCCTATTCTGTACATTTGCAACCTTTGCCATATAGCTCCCTTATCCACTCTATTATATGGCTTTTCTAAATCCATATACGAGACAAAAAGTTTTTTTATTATTAACATATTGGCTGTTTCCCACCAAGGCAGGGTCACCCAAAAAAGAAAAACTTTCATTATCATTCATTCCATCAATCTTGACAGAGGTGTGCTTACACTACAGTTATAAAACTGCAACACTAACACCTGTCCCTCAGGATGCAGGCACTGTACTTCCCAACTCCAGGATTCTAAGTCCAGCCTACCAGTTTCCCTGAATTCCTTCATAAATGTTACCTTGCTCACACTCCAACAGCACATCAAGTCATAAAAAACATATGTCTCCACTCGCTCCTAACACACTCATGCATGCATGCTGGAAGTCCAAGCCCTCCACCTGCACACAAAACCTCCTTTACCCCCTCCTTCCAACCTTTCCAAGACTGACCCATACTCTACCTTCCCTCCACTACCTTAAATACCTAAAATATTTAAGTATTATTCACATACATGTATATACTTCAGTGTAAACACTTTGTCTACACATCCCCTACCCTTCTTAAATTTTCCTTGTCCCTCTTCAATCCTACTTTCTGTTGTACCCCTAACTCTTTCATTAATTCTACCATATACTTAGCCAGAATGCTTAATAGGCTTTTTTTTTTTAACACACATGCCATCTCCGACCGTGGTAAGGTGACCTGAAAAAGAAGATATCACTATCTTGCCAGAGGTGTGCCGATACTACAGTTCAGATGCCCTTCCAAACTGCAAATATCCCTACTCTTGCTTCTGAGTACAAGCACTGTACTTCCCACCTCCTGGACACGAGTCTGGCTAATCTGTTTTCCTGAAACGCTTGACAAATGTTACCTATCTCACACTCTAACACATCAAGTCATAAAAACCACTTGCATCCACTCACACTTATCTCACTCCCATTTGCTTGCTGCATGTCCAAGCTCCTCACATACAAAACTTCCTTTATTTCCTCCCTCCAACCTTTCCTAGGGCAAACCTTACCCTGCCTGACCTCTACTTTAGATTTATATGCCCTCCAAGTCATCCTACTTTGCTCCATCCTCTTTAAATGTCCAAACCACTTCAATAACTGCTCCTCGGCCCTCTGGATAATACTTTTGGTAAACCCGCACTTCCTCCACCTAATCTCCAAACTACGAATTCTCTGCATAATATTTATACTACACACTGCTCTACAGCCTCCAGCCTATACTCTCATACATTCCTCTTTTTGCTTCCATGGATAATGTCTCCACAGATGCCGCAATGCACTACCCACTTATTTCTCCCTCATCAAATCTATGGTTCATCTTTCATAGACCCATCTGCCAAAATGCCACTCCCAAATATCTGAACACATTCACTTCCTCCATGCTCCCTCACTCCAATCTGATATCCAACCTTTCATTACCTAAATTTTTTGTTACCCTCATCACCTTGCTCTTTCCTATGTTCACTTTTAATTTCCTTCTTTGACATACCTTCCCAAATTCGTCCACCAACCTTTACAACTTCTCTTCAGAATCTCCCAAAAGCAGTGTCATTAGCAAAACACAATTGTAATAACTCCCACTTTGTATTAGATTCTGAGAATCTGTATATTTTAATCCCACATTTCTCCCCAACACCCTAGCACTCACTTCTTTTACAACCAAATCTATAAATATGTTAATCAACCACGGTGACATCACACATCCCTGTCTAAGGCCTACTTTCAATGGAAAATAATCTCCCTCTCTCCTACATACCCTAACCTGAGCCTCACTATCCTCATAAAAACTTTTAACTGCTTTCAGTAACATACCACCTCTTCTATACACTTGAAATATCTCCCACACTGCTCTATATCCACCCTATCATATGCCTTTTCTAAACCCATAAATGCAACAAAAACCTCCTAACCTCTCTCCAAATATTGTTCACCTACATGTTTCAATGGTCTACACATCCTCAAGCCTTCTTGTTTATTTGTGATCCTGCTCTTTATCTTACCATTAATTCTTTCAATAATAACTCCACACACAACCTGGTATACTCAAAAGGGTTATCTCCCTATAATTTTTACTCTCTCTTCTGTCCCCCTTTACTTTATACAAAGAAACTATGCATGTTCTCTGCCACTCCCCAGGTACCTTCCCTTCTTTCATTCACTGAACAAATGTATGTACTGACAACTGCAAAACTACATCAATACCTGCTTTTAACATTTTTATCTTGATCACATCGATCTCAGCTGCTTTACCCTTCTATCAATTTAACCACTGCCTCATGCACCTCCCCCACTCTCACAGCTGGCTCATCCTCACTCCTAAAAGATGCTATACCTCCCTGGCCAATACATGAAATCACTGCCTCCCTTTCTTCAACATTTAACAGCCCCTCAAAATTCCCATCATCTTCTCAATACTTCCAACTCCTCATCTAATAACATCCCTCCCTCTGTCAAATCCATTTGTTCCAACGGCTTTCTCAACCTATTAAACTCATTCCAAACCTTTTTTCTTATTCTCAGCAAAATTTGTTGACAGAACCTCACTCCACTCTCTCATTACTCTTCTTTACACTCCCTTACCACTCTCTTAACTTCTTTTACTCACTATATATTCCACCCTCCTTGTATCACTTCTGTTGTGTAAAGACCTCTCATATGCTAGCTTTTTCTCTCTTACCACTCTCTTTACCTCATCATTCCACCAATGCTCCTCTTTCCTCATGCACCCACCTTCCTATATCCACAAACTACTGCTGCACACACTATCATTGTATTCTTAAATTTACCCCATACCTCTTCAATTTTCTCATTACCTATATTATCACTAGCCCATCTTTCTCCCAATAGTTGCTCATATCTTACCCTAACTACCACCTCCTTTAGCTTACAAACTTTCACCTCTCTCTTACAAAAGAACAAAAGAACTGAGGAATACTGCAGCAGGCCTACTGGTCCATACAAGGCAAGTCATTATCAAAACTGCCCATGTATTCGTCCACCCTTTCCCCAAGGTTAAGCAAGAATTTGCTTCTATACCCCAGGCACTAATCAAACCCAGCCCCTCCCACTTATATATACTACTTTTTTTTTTAACACGTCGGCCATTTCCCACAGAGGCAGGGTGACCCAAAAAGAAAACTTACATATTTATCCAATCTTTTTTTTTAAATACCCAAGGTCTAAAGCTTCCCAATGATGCCATTCTCCTTTTACTCTCACTGTAGCTACAACTAGATAATGATCTAATACATATATCTGTTGCCCCTCTATAAAGATGCACATCCTAGAGTCTACTCATCAATCTTTTGTCCACCAACACATAGTCCAACAAACTTTTGTCATTACACCCTTTATCATATCTCTTATACTTATTTACCCTCAGCTAACAATATTAATCCGTTCCTGAAATCTCATCGTATGCTGAAATTATCGTTAGCTGAATTAATTTTCCCCATAAGAAATAATGAAAATCAAATTAATACGTGCAAGACACCACAAAGTATGAAAAAAAAAAATTTTTACCACATGAAATATTAATTTTAATACATACAAACTGACACTTACCTTTATTGAAGATTTGGTGATGATTGATGGGATGGGAGGAGGGGAGAGTATGGAAGTTGTTAATGTTTAGAAAGAGAATCCCCTTCCATTAGGACTTTAGGTAGCACGTCCTTTTCCGGGGTTACTTCCTTTCTTCTTTTAATGCCACTAGGACCAGCTGATCGTGGTGCAGCAGCAGCTGACCGTGGTGCAGCAGCAGCTGACCGTGGTGTAGCAGCAGCTGAATGTTGTGCAGCAGCAGATGACTGTGGTGCAGCAGCAGCTGACCGTGGTGCAACAGCAGCTGACTGTGGTTCAGCAACAGCTGACTGGTGCAGCAACAGCTGACCATGGTGCAGGAACAGCTGACCGTGGTGCAGCAACAGCTGACCGTGGTGCAGCAACAGCCGACTGTGGTGCAGCAACAGCTGACGGTGGTGCAGCAGCAGCTGACCGTGGTACGTTAGTACATATTTCTCACCCTTTTTACCACAGGGTTGGCACTACAAGCTTTCTTTGGGCCCATGGTGGCTTATTTAGCAGTTACAAGCACTATAAACAATGGAATAATACAAAATGTATCGAATGTATGCATGCAACCGGCCACCCTGGCTTGTAAACAATGACGGCAGGGCTGGATGGACAGGTTCTGGACGAGTCATGTTGGTCAGAAACAGCTGATGGTGATGCAGCAGCAGCTGACTGTGGTGCAGCAACAGCTGACCGTGGTGCAGCAACAGCTGACGGTGGTGCAACAACAGCTGACGGTGGTGCAACAGCAGCTGAACGTGGTGCAACAGCAGCTGAACGTGGTTCAGCAACAGCTGACCGTGGTGCAGCAACAGCTGACCGTGGTGCAGCAGCAGCTGACCGTGGTGCAGCAGCAGCTGACTGTGGTGCAGCAACAGCTGACGGTGGTGCAACAACAACTGACCGTGGTGCAGCAGCAGCTGACCGTGGTACGATAGTACGTATTTCCCACCCTTTTTACACATGATCGCTTGAGAGATGCTATCTCCTGCTATCTGTTTTTCATTTATCCACACCAATAACACTCTCTCAACATCTTCGAGTACTTGTGATCTCTGTTTCGAAAACAAACTTGCACCTTTTGCAAGAACAGCTTCCTTGATTGCTGTTTTGTTGGCCACAATAGTAGCGATGGTTGATTGGGGTTTGGTATACAACCTGGCCAGCTCCGAGACACTCACTCCATTTTCGTACTTAGCAATTATCTCTTTCTTCATTTCCATAGTAATTTTCACCTTTTTTACCACATGGTTGGCACTAGAAGCTTTCTTGGGGCCCATGGTGACTTATTTTGCAGGTACAATCACTAAAAATGCTGTGATAATATGAAATGTTCTGATTGTATGCATGGATGCAACCGCAGTGGCTAGCTTGTAAACACTGGCACCCATGGGACAACTGAGGCGCGCTCAGGCCACACGTGGATGCATCTCGAACGAATCACGTAGGGCGAGTTTTTTAGCGTTAGCCGAGGCAAAATTTTTGCGTTAAAATGTATCGTATGCTGGATTTAACATTAGGTGATGCCATCGTTAGCTGAGGGTTCACTGTATGTATTCCTATTACCAAACTACTTTCAATGCAAAGTTCAATCATTTACCCCTGGCACCCCAAACTTATCTATGTCCCCTACAACAGGCTTACTTACCTACTACATTTTTTTGTACCACATACAGAAATAAAAATTGTACAGCCTCTCCTCACTTAATGACAGAGTTCAGTTCCTAAGACCACGTCGGTAAACGAATTCGTCTCTAAGTGAGGAGCATACTATAATAGTAGTGGCCATAGCCTGGTGGCTAAAGCTCTCGCTTCACATGGAGAGTGTCTGGGTTTGATTCCCAGTGAGGGTAGAAACATTGGCCATGTTTCCTCACACTGGTTGTCTATGTTCCCCATCAGTATAATGGGCACCTGGGTGTTAGTTGACTGGTGTGGCTCGCATCCTGGAACAAAACTGACCTAATTTGCCTGAAATGCTCAGCATAACAAGCAGCTTTTTATATAGTAGTATGTCACTGAGGTCAGCTAGGCCTGTATACCTTGTAAATGTACCTGTCGAAATAAAGATATTATATTATTATTATTATTATTTTAATGTTACCTTTGCACCATTTATAACATTTCCGGCATAATTTTACATGTTTATACAGTAGTGTACTGTATATTGTAATAAACAGAATACAGGAAATCAGCTCAAGTATACATTATTTAGGTATGCGTACTGGTCAGAGAGCTCATAAGTTCGTGTCATCAGTAAACAAGTATGTCACTAAGTGAGGAGAGCCTGTATTGTATTGTATAATTTTCCTACTACATATATCTCTGTCTCTTCTTTCTTTTTCACCTTATACAAAAGAACTATGCATGTTTTCTACCAACAAGTAAGTACTTCCCTTTTTTCATGCATACTCTGAACAAATGCATCAACCCATCCAAAATTAAATCCCCACCTGCTCTTAACATCTCTGTCGTAATCCTATCTGTCCTGGATACTTTATTCCCTTTCATTCTATCCAATGCATGAAATCACTGGCTCTGTTTCTTCAACAACACTTAACAACTCCTTAAAATATTCTCTCCATCTCCCCAGTACCTCCACCTCCCCATCTAATATCTTCCCTCTTTCAATTTCAATTGCCAATGAAAAGCCAAATATACACGAAAACCCTGTCTTACTCCTAACCCTGCACACGAGCATTGTTACTTGGGAGATGGTCTGTGTTTTAGCACCCCCGATCTCCACATCAAATATTTCAATCAAAATAACTACAGTGGAACCTTGATTTTTGTATGCCCTAGTTTGTATGTAAAACTATACTTATTCTCTACAAAATGTATTTGTTGTTAATATTTTTGGATGTCTGGAATGGAGTACAGTGGACCCTCGACCAATGATATTAATCCGGTCCAAAGAGCTTGTCTTTAGGCGAATTTATTGTTAGTTGAATTAATTTTCCCCATGAGAAATAATGGAAATCCAATTAATCTGTTCCAGGCAGCCAAAAGTATTAAAAAAATAATTTTTTTTTTATAAAATATACATTTCCGTACAAAGAAAACAATGAGACATGCACAATAACTACATAAATAAATGCTAAAATGACACTTACCTTTAATGAAGAGTATTGATGAGTGATGAGACACTTGTTTTTCTTGAACACTCTGGGATTTTCAGTCATACATGAGTAAAGGCTTCACTTTGCAATCCCCACTAGCATTACAACAAAACATGAGAGTTAGCCTGTCTTTCACAGACTTGTGTCCTGGGAGTGCCTTTTCCTCCTGAGTAATGTAGGTCCTGTTTGGCATTTTCTTCCAGAACAGGCCTATTTCGTCACAATTGAACACTTGTTGGGGTTGGAATTTTTCAGCTTCACCATGCCTTATCACACTGTATGCCACTATGATTCTTAAATCTCTCAAACCAACCTTTGCTGGCCTTAAATTCACCAATATGAGCACTAGTTCCAGGCATTTTTTTCTGTTCACCTGGGTGTTAGTTGACTGGTGTGGGTCGCATCCTGGAGGACAAGATTAAGGACCACAATGGAAATAAGTTAGACAGTCCTCGATGACGCACTGACTTTCTTGGGTTAACCTGGGTGGCTAACCCTCTGGGGTTAATTGTTTCTCAGTAATTGTTTCTCGTTAAGCCACACCAACAACACTCTCTCCACATTTTTGAGTAGTAGAGCTGACCATGGTGCAGCAGCAGCTGACCGTGGTACAGCAGCATCTGACGGTGGTGCAGCAACAGCTGATGGTGGTGCAGCAGCAGCTGACCGTGGTACAGCAGCATCTGACGGTGGTGCAGCAACAGCTGATGGTGGTGCAGCAACAGCTGACGGTGGTGTAGCAGCAGATGACCGTGGTACAGCAACAGCTGATGGTGTTACAGGAGCAGCTGTCGGTGATACAGGAGCAGCTGATGGTGGTGCAGCAACAGTAGCAGCTGACGGTGGTACAGCAGCAGTTGACGGAGTTGCAGCAACAGCTGACCATGGTATGATAGTATTTCGATAGTATTTCTCACCCTTTTCCCACAGGGTTGGCACTAGAAGCTTTCTTGGGGGTCCTGGTGGCTTATTTAGCAGTTACAAGCACTAAAAACAATGGAATAATACAAGATATATAGCATGTATGAGTCAAACCATCCGCCCTGGCTTGTAAACAAAAGCACACTAGCTGAAGGCAGGGCAGCTGAGGCATGCTGAGACTGGACGGACAGGCGGACACATTCGGGATGAATGCTGTTAGTCGAGTTTTTCATCGTTGGTCGGTGTCAAAATTTTTTACACTAAAACGCTTCGTTAGGCAATTTTTTCATTAGACAATCCCCTCGTTGGTCGGGGGTCCACTGTAATTGGATTTACATTATTTCTTATGGGAAATACTGCTTCCGTTTTTGCATGATTCGGTTTATCGTCAGATTTTTTCTAACGGATTAATCACGAAAACCAAGGTTCCACTGTGTTAGGTGTCTGATGACAGATTTACATTCATCATTACAATGAATGACAGTTTACTGAATTACAAACATAAAGTGAGATCAACCCTTAGATACTAAGAACTTACTGAAAGAATAAGGCTGTCCCAGAAAAATGCTGGATAAGTGAGCATGAATTTAAAAGACAAACTGAAGCTGCCTTGCTGCATCAAAGAAGCAGTGGTGAAAAGGCAAGAAAACAGGTTAACACCACACATCATTTGTACAGATGACATCTTGTGCTGATTGAAGAGCTCTCCTTGCCAGTTAGAGGTGAAGGCATCAAATGACATGTACCCTATAAGGATGATGATCCCAGATAAAGTGGTGCTGCTGCTTGAGCCTGTGCAAAAATGCAGAAAAACATAAATCACTAAAGAGTGTAAAGCACAGTATAATAAATATAGTGGTACCTTGACTTACAAGTTTAATTCGTTCTGTGACCCAGCTCGTAACTCAATTTGCTCATATATCAAATCAATTTTCCTCATTGAAATTAATTGAAATGCCACTAATCTGTTCCAGCCCGCAAAAAAACCACCCCAATTTTTTTGTTACGGATTTTTAAATAAGAAAAATGTATTTATAAATAAGAAAAGATTTTTGCCTTTTTTGCCAGGTCCCAACAATGTTTTAGAAATGCTGGGGTATGTGTGAAACTCCGTGAAGCACAGTGTAAGATGAGTGCCATTCCACTGCCAGTGGAGTGACACTTGTAGAGTGACATTTGATGATCGTGCACTGCCTTGGCTTTATTTTTCACTGTTACACATAAACATGTCTGTCTGTTTCTGTCTATCCGTCTGTCACTCCACTGCCAGTGGAGTGTCACTCATGGAGTGACATTTGAAGATTGTGCACTGCCTTGGATTTATTTTTCACCGTTAAAAATAAATATGTCTGTCTATCTGTTTGTTCCTATCTATCTATCAGTGTTTCTATCTATTTGTCTATGTTTATCTGTGTCTCTGTTTATCTGCCTTTCTGTCTGCCTGTGTTTCTGTCTTCCTGTCTCTCTGTCTCAGAGAGAGAGCTCCTCATGAACCAACAGGTACTACACACAATGCAAAGTCGGTCACATGTGATTCCTGAACAAGTGAAAATGTGAATTACTTGCCAGTCATGCTTATTATGCCTTATATCTGCAAGCATAGTATAGCACTTTATCTGGATTTTTTGGGTTATTCTAGGTAATTTACACTATGTATAACTGTATTTATGTGTAGCTGTGAGATAGACAGAGATAGAGATAGTTACAGACAGAGACAGTCAAAGCCAAGCCAAGCCAAGCCAAGCCCAGCCCAGCCCAGCCCAGCCCAGCCCAGCCCAGCCCAGCCCAGCCCAGCCCAGCCCAGCCCAGCCCAGCCCAGCCCAGCCCAGCCAACCAGCCAGCCAGCCAGCCAGCCAGCCAGCCAGCCAGCCAGCCAGACAGCCAGCCAGACAGACAGACAGACAGAGACAGACAGACAGACAGCCAGCCAGACAGCCAGCCAGCCAGCCAGCCAGCCAGACAGCCAGCCAGACAGCCAGCCAGACAGCCAGCCAGCCAGCCAGCCGGCCAGCCAGCTGGCCACCCAACCAGCCGGCCTGCTGAACATATATTACACGTTCCATAATTGTTTCTCTTTACTTAGGGCATATGTTATAGAACATTCTGGCAGGATGACACTACCAGTGGTATCAAAACAAAGGATGTTACACATTGGTTATTATCGAGGTTTTTTATATTTCCTCTCTCCTGCGAGTGGCAGCATATCTGAAGCTCGCTCGTAACTCAGATTTTGGCTCACAACTCAAAGCAAGAAATCGACAGAGCAACGGCTCGTAACTCGGAAAACTCGTAAGTTGGGGCACTCGTAAGTCAAGATACCACTGTACCTATAAAATCTATACAATTCATACTAAATGCATAATCACCACCACTGCAAAGACATTGATTATATATAAATGATGGTGAAAGTGTTGAATGATGACGAAAGAATTTTCTCTTTTTGGGTCACCTTGCCTCAGTGAGAAACGGCCGATGTGTTAAAAAAAATGCAATTAGAATTATGTACGTATATTCAATTCAGTCAGGAAGGTACTAAATAACACAAAACAGATCATAGTGTAAATAGGAAGTACAGTAAATAGGAATGAATAGCAATACCTGTATTATAACTTAAAACTCCTTTGCATACAAAGTTACAAATAATGTTACTGACTTGCTTTTGATTCCGTTGATCCTAAGAGGAACATTGTCATACCAGCTGAAATAAGTATAGCTGTCACATACTCAAAGTACTCATACTTCTTTCCACTGACAATCTTGCCCATTATCATGGTTGGGATAATCTTTGATGCTTTGGCCAACACCTGAAATATTTGTGATAAATTGTAATTTCCTAAATGTGTATATATATTGAAAAGAAATGGCATATAGCTGAGATAATGGTTGACGTAGACATAATTACAGAGTAAAAGCTTTACTGAGACAACATTTCTCCTATTGTACAGGTAAAACACTGTACAGGCAAAATGTTTCACAACTGAAACACTGTATAGGAAAAATGTGGTCTCAAAAATTTTGCTCTGCATTTGTGTTTGTGTTTGGAATAGATTTAAAAATGCAGTATTAGAATGTGGGGCAGAAGTTTGTGGTTATAGGAGGGTGGGGGCAGGAGGAAAGAGGAGTGATTGGTGGAATGATGAAGTAAAGGGTGTGATAAAAGAGAAAAAGGTAGCTTACGAGAGGTTTTTACAAAGCAGAAGTGTTATAAGAAGAGCAGAGTATATGGAGAGTAAAAGAAAGGTGAAGAGAGTGGTGAGAGAGTGCAAAAGGAGAGCAGATGAAAGAGTGGGAGAGGCACTGTCAAGAAATTTTAATGAAAATAAGAAAAAATTTTTGGAGTGAGTTAAACAAGTTAAGAAAGCTAGGGAAAAGTATGGATTGTCAGTTAAAAACAGAGTAGGGGGAGTTAGTAGATGGGGAGAGGGAGGTATTAGGTAGATGGCGAGAATATTTTGAGGAACTTTTAAATGTTAAGGAAGAAAGGGAGGCGGTAATTTCATGCACTGGCCAGGGAGGTATACTATCTTTTAGGAGTGAAGAAGAGCAGAATGTAGTGTGGTGGAGGTACGTGAGGCATTACGTAGAATGAAAGGGGGTAAAGCAGCTGGAACTGATGGGATCATGACAGAAATGTTAAAAGCAGGGGGGGATATAGTGTTGGAGTGGTTGGTACTTTTGTTTAAATAAATGTATGAAAGAGGGGAAGGTACCTAGGGATTGGCGGAGAGCATGTATAGTCCCTTTAATATAAAGGGAAAGGGGACAAAAGAGATTGTAAAAATTATAGAGGAATAAGTTTACTGAGTATACCAGGAAAAGTATACGGTAGGGTTTATAATTGAAAGAATTAGAGGTAAGACAGAATGTAGAATTGTGGACGAGCAAGGAGGCTTCAGAGTGGGTAGGGGATGTGTAGATCAAGTGTTTACATTGAAGCATATATGTGAACAGTATTTAGATAAAGGTAGGGAAGTTTTTATTGCATTTATGGATTTAGAAAAGGCATATGATAGAGTGGATAGAGGAGCAATGTGGCAGATGTTGCAAGTATATGGAATAGGTGGTAAGTTACTAAATGCTGTAAAGAGCTTTTATGAGGATAGTGAGGCTCAGGTTAGGGTGTGTAGAAGAGAGGGAGAATACTTCCCGGTAAAAGTAGGTCTTAGACAGGGATGTGTAATGTCACCATGGTTGTTTAATATATTTATAGATGGGGTTGTAAAAGAAGTAAATGCTAGGGTGTTCGGGAGAGGGGTGGGATTAAATTATGGGGAATCAAATTCAAAATGGAATTGACACAGTTACTTTTTGCTGATGATACTGTGCTTATGGGAGATTCTAAAGAAAAATTGCAAAGGTTAGTGGATGAGTTTGAGAATGTGTGTAAAGGTAGAAAGTTTGAAAGTGAACATAGAAAAGAGTAAGGTGATGAGGGTATCAAATGATTTAGATAAAGAAAAATTGGATATCAAATTGGGGAGGAGGAGTATGGAAGAAGTGAATGTTTTCAGATATTTGGGAGTTGACGTGTTGGCGGATGGATTTATGAAGGATGAGGTTATCATAGAATTGATGAGGGAAAAAAGGTGAGTGGTGCGTTGAGGTATATGTGGAGTCAAAAAACGTTATCTATGGAGGCAAAGAAGGGAATGTATGAAAGTATAGTACAGTGGACCCCCGCATAACGATTTTAATCCGTGCAAGAGGGCTCATTGTTATGCGAAATAATCGGGTATGCGAATGAATTTTCCCCATAAGAAATAATGGAAATCAAATTAATCCGTGCAAGACACCCAAAAGTATGAAAAAAAAAATTTTACCACATGAAATATACATTTTCCCACACACAAAGAGAAGGATACATGCACAATAGTAGAGTAGTACATGCACAGTATATATTGTGCATGTACTAGTCTACTAAATGAAGAATAAATGACACTTACCTTTATTGAAGATGCAGCAATGACTGATGAGACACTGTGTCCTGGGAGTGCCTTTTCCTCCTGAGTAATGTAGGTCCTGTTTGGCATTTTCTTCCAGAACAGGCCTTATCACACTGTGTATGCCACTACGATTCTTAAATCTCTCAAACCAACCTTTGCTGGCTTTAAATTCACCAATATGAGCACTAGTTCCAGGCATTTTTCCCTGTTCACCTGGGTGTTAGTCGACTTGTGTGGGTTTGCATCCTGGGAGACAAGATTAAGGACCCCAATGGAAATAAGTTAGACAGTCTTCGATGACACTGACTTTTTTGGGTTATCCTGGGTGGCAAATCCTCTGGGTTAATTGTTTCTTGGTATTCTCAATAAGCCACACCAACAACGGTGCTACAGCAGCAGCAGCAGCAGCTGACGGTGGTACAGCAGCAACAGACGATGCTACAGCAGCAGCAGACGATGCTACAGCAGCAGCAGACGATGTTACAGCAGCAGCAGACGATGCTACAGCAGCAGCAGCAGCTGACGGTGGTACAGCAGCAGCAGACGATGCTACAGCAGCAGCAGCAGCTGACGGTGGTACAGCAGCAACAGACGATGCTACAGCAGCAACAGACGATGTTACAGCAGCAGCAGACGATGCTACAGCAGCAGCAGCAGCTGACAGTGCAGCAGCAGCAGCAGCTGTACCACCAATAGTAGCGATGGTTGATTGGGGTTTATTATACAACCTGGCCAGCTCGGAGACACGCACTCCACTTTCATACTTATCAATGATCTTTTTCTTCATCTCTATTGTAATTCTCACCCTTATTGCTGTAGGGTTGGCACTAGAAGCTTTCTTGGGGCCCATGGTCACTTATTTTCCAGAAAAAGCACCGAAAACACTGTAATAATACGAAATATTCCGATTGTATGCTTGGATGTTACCGCGGAGGCTGGCTGGTAAACAATGCCACCGGCGGAACATGTGAGCGTGGCTCAGGCCGCACATTGGACGCGTCTCGGACGAAAATCGGTGAGCGGGTTTTTAAGCGGTATGTGAGGCAAAATTTTTGCGATTAAAACAAGCGGTATGCGGATTAATCGCTATGTGATGCCATCGTTATGCGGGGGTCCACTGTAGTACCAACACTCTTATATGGATGTGAAGCTTGGGTGGTAAATGCAGCAGCGAGGAGACGGTTGGAGGCAGTGGAGATGTCCTGTCTAAGGGCAATGTGTGGTGTAAATATTATGCAGAAAATTCAGAGTGTGGAAATTAGGAGAAGGTGTGGAGTTAATAAAAGCATTAGTCAGAGGGCAGAAGAGGGGTTGTTGAGGTGGTTTGGTCATTTAGAGAGAATGGATCAAAGTAGAATGACATGGAAAGCATATAAATCTATAGGGGAAGGAATGAGGGGTAGGGGTCGTCCTCGAAAGGGTTGGAAAGAGGGGGTAAAGGAGGTTTTGTGGGTGAGGGGCTTGGACTTCCAGCAAGCGTGCATGAGCGTGTTAGATAGGAGTGAATGGAGACGAATGATACTTGGGACCTGACGATCTGTTGGAGTGTGAGCAGGGTAATATTTAGTGAAGGGATTCAGGGAAACCGGTTATTTTCATATAGTCGGACTTGAGTCCTGGAAATGGGAAGTACAATGCCTGCACTTTAAAGGAGGGGTTTGGGATATTGGCAGTTTGGAGGGATATGTTGTGTATCTTTATACGTATATGCTTCTAAACTGTTGTATTCTGAGCACCTCTGCAAAAGCAGTGATAATGTGAGAGTGTGGTGAAAGTGTTGAATGATGATGAAAGTATTTTCTTTTTGGGGATTTTCTTTCTTTTTTATGGGTCACCCTGCCTCGGTGGGAGACGACCGACTTGTTGAAAAAAAAAAAAAAAAAAAAAAATTGTGTTTTAGCTATTATACATAACATTGGTGAGCAGTTGCATCATCATATGTGGCTTAACTAACAATGTTCATTTTATAATTCACAAATGTTACATATAACTACAGACAACACTTGACTGATGCAACTAATAATGTCTGATCCTATCCAGAACAAACATTAAAAGAAAGGAAGAAATACAAAAAGATCTTCATTAGCAAACAGATGAGGTTAAACCATCAGCAAGGCAAGGCTTTAGGTATGAGCTTAATTAATAAAATCCTACAAAGAAACTCACAGCTAAAGTAATACACAGTACACCATCACATTAGGTAATGAGAAGTGCTGGAAGATGTGGTGGTTCAGATGGGTAATTGCTTTATGTCATTAGATCAAATCTCAATTCTTTTTTTTTTTTTTTTTTTTTGCAATGAACTGGCTGTATGCCACCGAGGCAGGGTGGCCTAAAAAGAAAAACAAAACTTTCTCTTTTTAAATTTAGCACAATATACAGAAGGGGTTACTAGCCCCTTGCTCCCAGCATTTTAGTCGCTTCTTATGACACGCATGGCTTATGGAAGAATAATTCAGATATCGATTCATGTTTTTAAAAAATGAGTTACAGTCGAGGTGCAACACTGAAGGGGTTAACAGTTTCAGAAACCTTTCAGCATAGCACCATCTCTCATGTACAATACTCTTGAAGAACATGAACCAACACGTGACCTAATGACATCAAGTTCCCTCCGATCTATCATCAATACATACCAGACTTTCCAACACCTTAGAATTTTAGGTGTGTGCTTATCTATATGACTCGAGCAAAATATTACAGAGAGTCTCAGCTTGCTAAGTGTCTATTAAAATACAGGAAAGCCAAGAAAAGTATAAGTCCCTAAAATTAAAAGCCGGGAAATAAGTAAAATATGTCTTAAAATAATCTTGAGAAACTACAACTCCACGAAACAAAAATTAAATATGACCAGATATACCAAATATAAGCAAACTAAACTTACGTAATCACTGAATTTCCTACATTCAAAATGTATCAAAATTAGTATTGCATTTAATTTGTTAATATGATTACATATGGTATACAGTACTGTAAAACAAAAACTTAATTAAAGGTTTAAAAATACTGTAATATGAATAGGAGTTAACAACAAATACTATTTACAAACCTGTGTGGGAAAAGTAACAAATTTGAGTGCCTCATACTGACACCAAGAACTCATAATATTTGAAAATGAGCAGTATGAATATTTATAGATGGGTGCTGTGTGCCTTGGTTGTCTAGTAAATCCAAGGTAAGTAGCTGCTAACATGAAGGCCAAAATGCGATTGATAAACACCAAGAATTGGGAGTCTTTGAAGTGGCCAATACTGCCTTCAGAGTTCTGGTATTCCTGAGAAAAGAATGATACAAATATTTCAAGACTTTTCATCAACATTATTTGTCTTCCAGTAGTATCATGAAAGATTTTACAGCCCTCAATTCCTCAATAATAATATACAGATTCACATATTCTAAACATAATAGAAAATATAATTTGTTCTTTAACTCTAAAACTGTCCAAACAGATCTACGTTCACATGCGTAGTGCTCCAAAAGTAGATCTATGTTTTTTACACATTTTCAAATAAAAAAAAAAAAAGATCAAAGTTTTTTTACACATTTTCAAATGTAAAAAAAAAAAATCTACTTTTTTTACATACTTTCAAATGTTGAAAAAACATATATATACGTTTGGACCATTTATGGGTTAAATACAATTATGTAACAAATATCATTTACCCATTTACTTCTACAGTGGAACCTCTGCTTACGAGTTTAATCCTTTCTGTGACCTTGCTCATATCCTGATTTGCTCGTATGCTGAGTCAATTTTCCTCATTTAAATTAAATGAAATACAATTAATCCACTCCGGCTCTCGGGAGGCACAACAATTCGTTACTACTAACTCTACTGCTTATTTATCTATCAA